TTATAATCCACTAGGCTACAAATTAAGTATACCAATAGGCCCACTTGCTTCCCAAAACCCACCCCATTTTTATATGCAAGTAGTTCCTAAATACAAAGAAGCTTATGGAAGCAGGGGAATTAAAGGAGTATCATGAAAAGCTTTTTCCTCAGAAGGAGCTGAACGAGCAAATACACTTTTTCAACCAACAGAAGACAATATTGTTGCAGAAAAGAGTAAAGTAGCAGCAAGAAATAGGAGGCATAGTTATCTTTACTAAAAATCATTTACCTAATAATATCAATGCTATTGACCAAAAAACTTGAGATCAAATTGGAGAAGTCTGTCAAGAACTTATCCAAAAATGGCATCTGCTGAAAATTTTACCACTGATGCAGTAATTAGATGAGAACTCAACCAAAAAGCTGCAGAAACTTTGATAAAAGAATCAGAAATGCCTTCAAGTTATAGTGAAACTTATCCCCCGTCTGAATTTTCGGCATACTTTGCTCCTAGATTCAAGGAGACATTATAGACCTACAGAAAAGGGTCAATTTCTAGGCACCATGGAAGATGAGCGAGTTGCTGAAAAACTCCGCGATCCAGAAACTTATTATGCTAAATGGAAAGATGATAAAAATTATTTAATAAACAAAGGCAAAAACCTCACCCAAGCCAAAAAGAAAGAAATAAAAAGATTGCTAAAGTATGACTCGAAATTAAAGATTTAGAACAAATTCCTGAGCGAACTGAAGAAGAATTACAATTAAAAAATAAAAGAGAAGAATTGAGAAAACTAGAAGCTAATCAAATAGATGAATTAAAAACCAATTGAACTCCTTGAATAGGATTGGGAATAGCTTTAACTATTATCCTTGGAATATCTGCTTATTTATTAATTAAAGAAAAACGGAAATTTACTGAATAATTTAGTCACAGAATGCTTTAGCTTGTTATTATTTTATTTATTAAATTAATTAACAGAAACAAACATTTTTGTTTAGTATAAAAATTACTCAATTATATTTTGTACTGGCTTGGGACAAGTAATGTCTTTAAATTCGTCTCTAACAAATGGGCGGATATTATGATAGAGATATTCCTGTCTTTTTGTTTTATAATCCAAAGGAGATGGAATTAGAACTAGGATGGAAAAAGATTTAATTTCTTTGGTAATTTCAGAAACACTTGCTTTTCTGGTTTTTAACAAATTAAATTCAGTATATGAACCATTAGCAACCAGCTGAGCTTTGGCAATACCAGGTTTGGCTGCTTTGAATACAAAATGCTGATATTTTTGTAAACCATTTAATTTTTTAAAGAAAATTCCCAACACGGAATTAAGATCCAAATATTGAAAGCCTTTCCCATTGTCATAACGTTGAGCTTTGTTTAATCCCGCTGTGCTCGATCTTTTCACAACCTCAACAATATGGTCTATACAATCTACTGTCGTCTTTCGGTAAAGTTTCTTAATCAATTTAAAACTACCATCACATTTGAATTTAGTATGCCCAGGTATCATAAAATTTAATTCAATGCTTTCATAATAACCACAAATTACCAAATACAAATAAAATCAAATGGTAGCATTATTTTTATTCTGCCCTCCCGCATTATCGCAAGTAATCTTTAAACGTTTTTCACCTTTATTCAATTGTTTAATTCCATCGAATACCAGGCTTAGCGTACCATTAGGGCCTTTGCCGATAATTTCATCCTCATCGAGAACATAATTAATTTGTTCGCGTACTGCTTTATCTTGAATACCAAATAAATGCACCTTGCGCGGACTAAGATAATAAATCTTACTTACCTGTTGATCGGAATGGGGCACGTGAACGTTTTGCGCTCAATCGTAACTGTAATGCGCAGTCGCGTCAATGTTACAATAAGCTTTACCTATTGTTATAAAATGCTCGTCTACCAATTTTCTCTGTTGTTCTGCTAATTTCGTATTTTTGTTGTAATAATTTCTTTCTAACTTAGCTTTAACTAGATGTTCTTTAAATCTTTTCAGTAAATCTTTCGCTTCTTCTTCCTTACGAGCATTATACTGTAAGCCATTCCGAAAATGTTGGCACGTGTCACATAAATCTGTTCTCGGACTCATAATTTGAATATAAGGCGTTAATTGGTGTCATAACTTACGAAACGCATCATATTTTAACGATTTCAAAGTGCTATTGTTTTCGAGACCTGCAATAAAATTACGATAGACCGATTTATAACTCGTTTCGGCTGGCAAAAGTGTAAGCGATTGAGTAATGCGATTAACATTTCTACCGGGACTTGGTAATCCGTGTATTTCGGCATAGTTTTCGAGAAAATTCTTCACGGCAGTAGCAACGTTTATATCAATGGTTATTTTGGTTTTCCATCGTGGCATTCGTTTGATATTACCATGAACGCGCGGTATTATACCATTCGTCGCCAAGTGATTTCTAACATTTTCGAAGTGAGTGCGACCAATTCCTAACATATTGAGATATGTTTTCTGACAGAGGGGGGCGTATTGCGATCTCAATAGTAAAAAGTTCTTTTATTAGTACGCGTTTTCTTTTTAAGACGTCGACTAGCAGTTATTTCTCCACCATTCATTGCTTTCAACTGGGCCATTAAAAATATTTTTTGTTCGGATCTGGAGAGAGCTTGAAACGCCTCACGTAATTCAGCAAACCCTTCTCTCGAAATCTTTTTTGAACAACCACATTTGCAACCTATCTCTAAGAAACGGATTGCTTTTTCGTATTCGGCGGAGCCATTATATTCGTTATTTGTCATATACGGGTAATCCTATATATAAATTTTATTGTTTTCATGCATATTACACAGCATCAGTTTATGACAAAAACATTTCACTATCATAATTACCGCAATACAATAGAAGAGGTGAACTTTATTCACTGTCAAACGAGAACTGAATTATAAAAGAGACAACTAATAACATTATTTCTATTGTGTGAAAGCCTTTGTTTTTGGAAAAAGATGTTCTACCATCCACAAATCATGTTCCGTAGTAATTTCTCCTAAATCTGTTGCATCAGGATGGCGAGGAAGATTAGGGTTCATATATAAAGGGTATTTAGCTTCATGAATTCTACCAGCCCAATCAAAATCAACAAGTACAATATTTCCATTATTTTTTTGCCTAAGAATATTGACTTGTCTTAAGTCACCATGTACAAAACCCTTTGCATGCATTTTTTCAACTTTTTCTTTTACAGACTTCTTGATTTCATCCACAGAAGATGGTTCATAATATTCTTCTGCCAAGTTGGAATAATCATCTTTCATGTACTCCATGACAACTACCTTCCATCCTCCTAAAACACTATAACAACCAAATAACTGGGGTGCAATACCCATCTCTGCACAAGCTTCATGTGCATTAACTCCATAATCCTGTGCAAACTTCACAAGTAAATCCTTTGGAAGTGTACAGCTGTAATCATTACTCCTTTCAACATGAAATACTAAGCCATGAAGTTTAGATTTGTAATTAAATTCAAGCATTTGTCCGTCTAATGTTTTAAAAGAATTAATATATGGGAAAGATCTTTGGGTAGGAGAAATTTGTGGAGGCCCTTGGTTATATACCCCTTGCAATGAGACTACTGCCTTGTTGAGAGCATGAAACGTTTGTGCTAATTGGAACATGGCTTGCTTATCATGACATAGGTGTAACAAAGGGAGAACAGGTGTAAGAGGACTGCATGTCACACTGTCTGCCAAAATAATCCCAGCAATGCCAATATAGGGTCCTAAACATATTAAAACGGTTAAAATAACAAGTACAAAGTGCAGTCTATATACTATGTAATTATTCTCACCTGCAAGGTATAATAGGAAACATGGCAGTCGAGTCTGTGTCTTAAATGATTTAGCAAGATTTGCAATATATATTCCATAGTAGGAGGCACCTTGGATGTAAGGACATCCATTCCCTAAGCCAAGTTCCGGTTTAACTTCTAGATTAACCACCAAAAGATGTCCTGCTGTATCAAAACCAGAGCCATCAGTTGTACAATTGCCTACTTTGACCTGATTCAGTTGCATCTTATAATGTTTATAATAAATTTCATGAAATTTTATCATTCTCGCATTTTCATCTGCAAAAGCTTCAGGCATATGATCTGTAATTTCCATGACAAATTTGGCATCAGTTCGAGTTGGCTGTATTGTTTTACAATCATCATAGAAAGTTGCAAACAGAGGATGTAAGAGTGTAATGGGATCTCCTTCTGCATTTGCAGGACGATGGTTCAAGTAGAGAGGTTTTTGAGAATATTGTTCGTCTTTCCAACACTTTGGATGACAGAAGGTTGATGGCGCATGTTTTTTCAATGCATGGTAGTAATCATCATCCGCTTTACGTTTTAATAGGTTTTCTGAGAAGAAATAACAAACAGAACATATGAAGAAAGGATTGAGCAAAAATGTCTTACAACCCACATTACTACATCTACTCTATCCTATGTACACTACTCTACCCACGCGCACACTACTGTATGTCCCCAACGCCCGAGTCACAAAGTCGTTACCTGGCTGAGTTGTTGTCACTGTTAAAAGTGCCTCTCGGCACTTTCTAACATCGTCATTGCACTTCGCAACCTCCTTAACCAGACGCTCTTCTCTCTTCTCCAGCCTAGTCTTCTCCTCTTTCCACTCGCTTCGTTCCGCCGCAGTTCCCTCTCCCCTCCGCAGCTTCCCTCTTAAGTCGTCCAGCCACTTCCCACCGTTCTCGTCCTCCTTCCACGCCTGTAACTCGTTCTCCGCCTTCTCATACTCCTTGATCGCACGTTCTTCCCGTTGTTTAACTTCTTCAATACTCGCCATTTCTGTTTTTCGTAAGTTTGAAGAAACTACCCCAGCAGCCTCAGCAAAATTTTCTCAATTAACCAACTCGAGCAACTACCCCAGCAGCCAACACGAGCGGTTTGCAAATTTTGTGTAATGTGCAGATCGCGAGTGCAGATCGCGAGTGCAGATCGCTTGTGGAGCGTACAGATTTCCTCTCTGGAAAGATGTTTATTTTGAATTTCCTAATTAAATTCGACTAGCCTAATTGAGAATCTTCTGCTGATAATTTCTAAATAGGGATTTACATCCTCATGACTTGACTTAGGGCGCTCTCACCAGTTCATCGAGCCAATCGAATTTGGAAATCAGTTTATCGTTGGCTAGACAGCGCTCAGCGGCTA